TCAACACCTGAGGAAACTGGCAGAAAAGTTTGAGAACGAAAAGTCCAATCGTCTTTCAGCTTCCGCCCTCCCTGTGACACTCCAGCCACGGTAAGGAGCAGGAATTGTTCAAATCTCTGAAGAACCACGGCTAGCCCTGCAAATCCTGACCACCGACGACCCTCTCTAGTCTGTCCGGGCTCGACTGTCCTCGAGGTGCACGGGCTTTCCTGTCTACACTGACTCTCTTGAATACACAGAACTGCTCTCTGTTTAGTCAGCCCCTACTCAGGCCACAGCAGCCTTTCATGTCCACACTGACTCTCACTGTCTACACTGACTTTCTTAGTCCCATCACTTCTCCGTCTCCACATGCTGTTACACAGACCCTAACTTCAACCCTAAAAGGAAAGGTTTGGCTGGAGGCCCGTGGCAGCCCCATTGAGGGCTTTTCCATTTTGCCAGAACATTTCATTTCGACACCAGTCTTCCCTTCTCTGGTAATTCTCTGGATCTGTTTTTTATTCCCTGACCTCTCCCTCCTACCAGACCTCCCCCTCATCTGGTTTTGAATTTCGGAGGAAATATACTTTTCTCCCGCCACCCCCACCCCACCCCCACCCCCAGCCTGAATGTAAGGCTGTTGGGTTTCAGCCTCCCCCTCCCCCCTCCGTTCTCCCTGGCAGAGCTACTGAGGTCTGAGGCCGGGGTAGAAACTGGGGAGGAGGGGTGTGGTAAGGTAACATAGCTGCTCGCTCTTTGGTCTGAACTGGGAGGAGCCAGCCCGGGGCGGGCTTTGCCAGGCCCCGCCCCCATCTGCCAGGGCAGCGGGAGGGCTCGTGGGTAAATCTCTTTCTCTCAGCTCACGCCTCTGATGTCTGAATCCAGGCCTCTGCTCTCCTTGGCTGTAAACTCGGTGCAGGGATTGTGTCTTCTTTAATATCTTGTGGGAAGCAGAGTACAGTGTTGCGGCTGATAAATAATAAATAATAATAATCTACTGAGGGTAGCGGGAGGACTGTCAGTGAAAGGGAATGAGAACACCGGGGAGATGGCCCATTGGTGTTAGAGTAACTGCATTTCCTGAAAAAAGAAAAAAACGAAAGAAGTTTTTGTGTGTGAAGCTGGGGGTGGGGAAGGGACAGAGCAAAGTACTGCAGGGAGGAATCCACCCTTGATGGTGGGGTCAGCCAGGAGAAGTGGTGTGTCTTTAAGACAGGGTGACAGATGGTCCTCCAAGGGGGAGCAGGGTGGGAGTAGGGGCAAGAAAGCTCCCCAAGTTTCCTCCAACAACCTGAAGGGGAGCGATAGACGTGGTTTGAATGCTAAGTTCTTAACGCGGTGTATAAAAAGTGATTGAAGGGTAATGCAGGTGGGAGGAAGGAGAAAGAGGGATTATTTTTGATTTTAAAAAAGGACTCAGGTAACATCTCAAGCACTGAAAGCAGAGAGGAGACCAAAGGCACAGGTGAGTCAGTGTTCATTCATGCTGTCGGAAGCAGTCCTCTGAAACGATCTGCATGGATCCACCAGCTATGAGCACGTAGGGGAATCCACCCGGCTCTGTCCAGGAACAGAGGCACGTGGTACAGATGCAGGCATTATGGTAATACAGCTACAGTCTGCAGGGTTAAGGGATAGGTTAAGATCTGGCAATCTGAGGCACTCGGTGTCTTTCAGATCATTTTTGAATGATTCTCAAATGAAAGAAGGAAATATGCACTCCCAAGAAGCCTTCCTCAGCTACATCTCTAGGTGAAGGTGTAAGGATTCTCCCACTTTTCCTGCTGGCATGATCAGAGAAGAGAGTCCATGCTGAATCTGCATCTACCCAGGTGATGTCAAGGGTGCCGGTTCTGGTGTGTTGCAATGCCTTCAGGATTGGAGCTTGATAACAGCTCACCGGGGGTGCCAGCTTGTCTGGAGAAGGAGAAAAGCTGTGTGAATTAGAATCACAGTGGGCTTGTCTGCCCTCTCCTCACCCCACCCATCTTTCATCCCCAAAGCCTGAATGCAAATGAGGATTTCTGGAGTCTAAAGCCAAGATCTTCCTCTGCACTGGGGCTCTGCCCAGCTAGGAGCAGTTGGGTTTGGACACTGCCACTTAGGATCGGGCGGCTCTGGTGTAGACAAAAACTCCCTTTCTCCTGGAGTGCTGCTGTTCGAGTCATCTGCCCCGATTCCCCCAGGGTCTTGGTGACACACACCTTATCTTCTTTGTGTTGTGTACGAAATCTCCCCTCTTCCTGCATAGACCTTGCTGGTAGCAGGGATCTGTTCTGGGTCATTCACCGTCCTGCTTTGTGGTATTTGGGATATGCGCCGTGGTTGGCATGGCTCTCTCTCCCTGGTGAATGGAATTTGTTGGGTGTTGTACGTGGGAGCTCCTCTGGTCCTGGTCAAAGGTTGCTCCGTGAAGTGCATGATCAGCTTGGTGAAGTGTGCTTCCAAACCCAGTTCTCTGTCCTGACAGAGATGCCCTGAGCTGGGCTCTGCAATCAGGACTAATGTGTATGCCCCAAGCAGGTGGGTGGTGAAGGAGTGGACTGGAGGTGCCCAGGGAGGTAGACTGGAATGCTCTAGAACATCCATTCTCTACTCAGAGCATAAACCATTATTTGTGCAGTTGATCAGGCAAGGACTTTGTGCTGGAAAGGCTACTACTGTCACCTCGAGAGGCACCAGAGGAGCCACATCTGGACTGTCTGGAAGTGCCCACTGTGGCTGAGACGGCCTTCCCTCCTTATTTGTAGCAATAACCACAACAAAACAACCATTTACTCAATGGCTACAACATGCCCAGCGTTGTACCAGGTATTCTTCCTATACTACCCAATTAATGGTCATGGCAACCTGTGGAATCAGTGTTATCAGCCCCGAAGGCTGAGCCACAAAGAGGGTAGGTGATCTCCTGAAATCACACAGCCAGTAAGTGGCAGAGCTGGAATTTGAGCCTGGTTAGTTGGTTCCAGAGCCTTTGTTCTTTTCACCACACTCAACACACAAATGCAGTTCCTTTTGTCATTAACCCAGTGCTTGTCCTTTGGAGAAGACCCAGTAGATGCTGATTTTGCCTTTATCGGCAGCCAGTCCTGGACCCAGGACTGGAAATCCGTCATAGGACATGATTGTAGGACTGTTGTAGAAGAGGGAAAAGCATCTCTGATTACTGAATGCACAGGTCACTTGGAAGAGTGGACGCCTCATCAGAAACCCTCAGGTCTGAGAGGACATCTGTTTCCAGGAGCGCAGTGGGTATAAATAGAGCAGGAGCCAGCTTCTCTGCTGGTTCAGTTTTGTGTTTGCTGTTTTGTTTTGCTCACATTTTGCTCTGCTAAAACCATCCCCATTTGGCATCAAATGCATTAATAAATCCTACATAAGTCACTGTCCCTCCAGTGGCTAATCAATCCATAAAAATCTATTTGGCACCTACTGTGTGTCCTGCATTTCAACCCCATGGTGTTGATTAAAGCAGGAAGTAAAAAGTCACAGCTGCTGGATTTTCACTGTGGCCACCCTGTTCTGTAGATGTGTCACAAAGGCACACGCTAATCATTCAGCCAGCCATTTTCGGAGGACCTCCTGCACGCTCAGCCTTGTGCTGGGTGCTTGCTTTCAGGAATACAGGGAAGGTACAAGGTGGTTCATACTCCGCTCATTTTTACCCCTACTGTTCCCCCAAAGGGGCTGAGGCATCCAAATACAAGATAGGAGTCTCCCCCTTATCCACAGTTTCAATTACTTGTGGTCAACCTCTGTCTGAAGATATTAAATGGAAAATTTGAGAAATAAACAATTCATAAGTTTTAAATTGTGTGCCATTCTGAGTAGCCTGATGAAATCTCGTGCCATCCTGCCCAAGACATGAATCATCCTCTTGTCCAGTGTATCCATGCTGTGTATACTACCTGCCTGTTAGTGTAGAAAAAAATCCCAGGTCCTATAATGTTTGGTACTGTCTGCAATTTCAGATATCCACTGGGGGTCTTGGGACATATTCCCTGCAGACAAGGTGAGACTACTGTACTTGCTTCTTGTTCTTGACAGGGTTAAGGTAACAGTGATTGTTACCAAGAAACAGAACCTGGAGCTTAGTTGTGGGGAAAAGGCTCTAAGTGTTGTGAGCATCTAGGGGATTATCTGTAAGAGTTGTGCTGGTCAGGATGGCTTCCTGGAAGAGGCAAGTCTCGTACTGGATCTGAAGAGTGAGGAGGTTTCCAGAGGAGGCAGGAGCCCAGACCAGTCGGAGTAGAAGGCAGTGACCAGGAGGTTAGGGGAGATGGGATCCCTGGACTGGGGAGCTCTTCCCGGTATGATAGTTTCTGAAACACGACATGTTGTTAACAGTCATTTCCTTTGAGTGAAAATGAAAATGTATTTCCCTTCTTTGTCCAAATCAGTGAAATATCGGATTCTAAGATGCAGAGTGAAATCGGTGGTGTCTTTTTGGCATTCTCAGTGGCAGGAATTCAGCACCTTTTTTTAGTACCAGCTGTTTGCAGGTGGCAGGAGTGCTAATTAGACGGAGCCACTAGCAATTTTCCTGGGTGGTTCCGACTCCCAAACTGACAGGAAACACTGCTTGGGCGTTTTAAAAGAGCAGGTTCTACTCTCCCTGTTGATAAAGTGATTCTTCAAACACAGTGGTCAAAGGAATGGGTTTAGTAGTTGCTTAATACATATTTATTGGGTGTTGAATTGTTCACAGCGACCAAAATTCCTCTTTATTTTTTCCATGTTTAAGAAGGGCCGGGTATTTCTCTATGAGACAGTATAAAAAGAAGACCCAAGTGATTGGGAGGGTGGTTGTAGGAACATTTAATTTGAGTGTTAGGATTCTTTTGCTCACTGAAGCAGGTTTTTTCACTAAAGGGAAAATTCAAGAGACTTTTGAGAGAAGATTGGATCCTCATAGTTCTTTGCATACATATTTTTCGAGTTGTTTTTAAGAATAAAAGAGGTAACAGGCCTGCCAGTTCCCTGTTTGACTCCAGAATCCACAGGTGCCAGTGACTTTTATCTCCCTCTGAGTTTTCAGGAGAACTTGGGGCCTGGACCGTGTCATTAGTGGGGTCATCCTACAGCCTTGAATTGGGCCAGAGGCAGGA